CGTACGTACGAAGTACGAGTAGAGAGAGAGAGAAGAGAGAGAGAGAGAGAGAGAGAGAGAGAGAGAGAGAGAGAGAGGAGAAGAGAGAGAGAGAGAGAGAGAGAGAGCAGAAAATTGAGGAAAATGATTCTACCATGTCTGGTGAATGCAAGCCGTCCATTTAGTAGACAGTGAGTGGATCTAGGCCTTTAGGAACTCACAATTGATTCTTTCCTTGTTATGAAGTTGATTATTCTCAAATCAAAGATGTACAAAATTGCAGCCCAAAAGAATCTCTCTAGCTATATTTTAGCCAATGGGCTTATACTGTAGCATAATCGTTGGGTTATAGAATCTTTTTCCATAATAATAATAACATAGAAAGAAATGCTATGACACAAGTAAAAAGTAAGAAATGCAAACACAGGGTCCCTACAAATTACAGATTTCATTTCAAGTTAAGGATATTACATGTAATGACGATGTTCTGTTGGTCGGGAACATTATACATGAAAATTAACTAACATTCGTGCATGTCTAGAATAGCATAACAAGCATAGTTGGAAAGTAAAGAACTAGAAGCACACCTCCACAATAGATGAGAACCTTTTCGAGAGTTTTGGATCAAGAAAGTTAGGCCAGACCTCCATCAAAAGCTTGTTCAACCACTCACATGGCTCTAATGGTGTAAAAGGCTGCAATATCAATAAGACTATCAAGTCAAATCACCTGCACATACTTCTCATGGTGGGTAAAATTACAGAACTTCTAGATAGCACGAATCATGACATAAACATCACAAAACATTCAAAAAAATTATAACAAGAACAGAACCAACCAATGTGTTTAATATGTGACGCTTCCACTTCTTGTTCAGGTCATCTACAAGTCGCTCGCGCTGATATCTTCCATACTGCATGAGTGAAGACAAGGGAATCAAGTTTAATTTTGAACTCTTATAGATCGTTCCCATGCTAACTACTATTTCAAAAATTCAAAGAAAGGAAATGCTCCAAAGTTGAACAAATTTCTCATCGGCATATCCATCCAATCAAATCAGTAATCTTATCTTAAACAATCTAACACAATTAACATTTGTAGGTGTCTATTGAGGTCTTTTCCTTGCAACTCATGGGCAAACTGCTATAAGAAAGGGCCATAACCTGGTGCTGGTCCCGTCTAAGCACGGTCTTGGGAGGGGTGGACTGGAAATGGTCCTAACTTTTGGCTTATGCACAAAGTGGCAGCTCTCATGACTTGAACCCACGCTCTTGCGCTGGCTACCCGAGCCTTTTATCGTCACACCAAGTGACGGCCCCTTGCAAACTGCTATAAATGAACACCAAAACCATGTCGGGCTATATCCAGCCCCTAGGAAAGTTGTAGTATCACAAATCATTGAACTGGGTTCTTATTTGCTGCAAGGATGAATTTGACAAAATTAAAAAGCAATTAAACATGTGAGAGCGGTTTATCGAATCATTTTAGCAAATATGATCCTCTAATTGAATTATAATTTGAAGAAGCACACTTAACCATGTCATTTGTCAATAAAATCTCATGATTATCATCATCATCAGAGCCTTTTCGTAACTGTTTGGGGTCAGCTATACGAATCCTGGTTTGCCATTTTGCTCTTTCAAGAGTCATATAAGTCCCCATATCTTTGCTCACTATTTTCAACCATGTCCTTTTGGGCCTACCGCTTGCCTTTTTGAGCCTTCCACTTGAGCTAACTTATGCATCTTAACAGGTGTTGTACTGGGTCTACATTATACATGACTGACCCACTTAAGTCTACTTTCTCTCATCTTATCGCCTATTGGAGCCACACATAAGTTCTCTTGAATGTATTCATTTCGAATTCTATCATTTTTTGTCTTGCCACTCATTCATCTCAACATACACATCTCAATTAGACTCATCCTATGGGTATGTTGTTTCTTGAGCTCCCAACATTTCGCCCCATAAAGAAAAGCTTGTGTTATAGCTGTACTATAGAACATGCCATTCAATTTCATTGGTATGCGGCGATCACATAAACATACTGATCTAACTTGATAGATTAGCATAAGTGACATAATTGGTGACATCCACTAAAACCCAAGAGTCACCAACTCTTGATTTGTTTTGAAAATATTGTTTGTTGTATACGAGTGAACACCATTAAAAATGAATATATGGGAGAAATGAGAGGGTACAAGACTTGACTCCTTGACAAGGAGAAGCCACATGAACATTGGATTTGGTTATGAGGAGAAAGATAAACGGTCCCAAAGATGATTACTATCAAGGCCCTTGATACCGCCAGTCATAAAAGATATATTTGTGAAGATGAACATCCATTAGAAGGATGGTCATGAGCAGATCTACATGGCTCAAATATCTATATGCTACCTTGTTTCAATCTATACAAAGCACCATTCGATGACTTTAAAAGGTCCACGACTCTCTCCTGCATATTGGTTTCAGAAATCCAGGGGATGATAGAGTTTCTCTAGAGATGGGATTGGAGAAAATCAATAGTTCTTTGTTAAGCATTTTTTAGTGAGAGTGTCATCTTATTGGTCTATGTCAATAAAACTGTCACCACTAAGGAGAACATTATCTTTTGCTGTTTCCCTTCCTAAATACTTAAGCAAAAACATACATCTTATTTTCTCGGCTCATCACACCAACAATACGAATAATACAATTTCAAACTGAGTTCAAATTGGGACGATTTCTACATCAATTTTTTCTGAGTTTAACTGTCTTATCAGATCGAATTTCAGCTGATCTAGTACAACATATCAAAAATTAAGTCCACATAAGAACTCAAATGGAAAATGTTAGCCACACTTTTCATGGGCTGATCACAATTTTCAGCCATTTACCAATGGGGCTCAAAAATCAGTTTGCAATTATGGGTTTTGGTTAACCAAACCAAATTCAAAATCTCTGTAATTAATAAACAAGGAACAATAATCTGTCAAAAAATTCAAAATAACAAGGAAACGGTATGTTAATCTCTTATTTTGTTTTTTTAAATCTAACCTGAATTGTTAAGTTAAAAGGTACGTTAAATTTTAAAGTCTGCAGAATTGTGAAAGCAAACCTGAATTGTTGCCCAAACAGTGACCAGAAGAGGAGCCCAATTCGAGAATGGCACAAGCCATCGCTCCAGTGCCCAAGCCAAGAGAACCAGAGGAATCAGTAATGGTAAAAGGGGCCTCTCTGTAACAACATGGCTCCATATCTCAAGCGCTTCACCAGCGCATATGTCTCTGATTCTTTTTGCAATCTCTGCTCTATCTCTCATGAACGAGGCGCGCCTCAGTAGCAAGGCCATTCCCTCTATCTCTCTATCTCTCAAAAACCCAAACTCTCACAGAGACTCTAGAGAGAGAATTCAAACATGGGTTTATCCGAGTGCGTTCGTTGAACTTCTGGAGAAGACAAAAAGACAATCTTTGTCACTCATCAGCGCAACTTACCGTGGCCCCTGGGCCCAGTGGTTTTAGAGAGAGAAAATATCAGGATGGAAATTTCCTAGCACGTAGAACTTTCAGTGGGCCTAGAGAGAGAAAATGAGTGGTTGGACTTCAATGGAGTTCACCAGAAAAAAAGATAAAAATTATGAACAGTGAATGACAGAATGAGTGATGATTAGGCTCTCTTTAATTGGTGCATAACATCTGAAGAGAGGAGTGGACGTTGGTTGAGTCCCCAATTACAAATGTGTGAATCCAAATAATGATTTAGAAAAAAGGAAATCAAAACGAAGGCTTCCAAACGAAAAAGTCACGTCTCGATATTTTTCCTCGGGTTTGGTTTGTCCCAATGGTTTAAAAAGCGGATCGGTGATCCGGATTGGGTATCACAAAAAAAGATCCGGATCGATGAATTAGAGATTCAGATTAGGAATCGGCTGAATCGATCAGCTTAAAGTTTCAAAAAAATATGTAAAAATTATTAAAATTCATTATAAATGTTGTTTTTTAGGAATCCAATAAGAAATGAAAGTACTACATTATTAACTTTTATTTTTTTCATCAATTTGTGAATATTGATATGCTCTTTCCCTATATAAACTTAAGTATTAAATTTGCATCACATAAAAAAAAAATCATGGAATTATCATGGATAAAATATATAATTATAAATGGACTATAATAAAGAGTAGACTAAATCAATGAAAGAATGGCCATTAAAATATCGTTTTGACGAAAAACCCTAATCCGTTAAAAAAACCCAAATTATTACAGCCTAACTAACTATAATCCAAAATTATTACAACCTAACTAATTATAATATTATTTACTGAAATTATAATTATGAGCTTACATTTTATAATTATTTTATAAGATAAATAATAACAAATTAAAAATATTTTATAATATTATCTAATTTAAAATGTATTATTGACAACTGTAAGAAAAATAGTACATTACATGATTTATAATGTAAAATTAATAAATAAAATAAAAAATTTGGTTATCAATGTAAAAATTAATAAAATACGTATAAATTTTGGAAATAACACTTTAATTTATTATATGCTCAAGGGGGAAAAAAATTAGCTCAATAGGGGATAAACATATGGTACAAATTTTGGAAATAACACTTTAATTTATTATATGCCCAAGGGGGAGCAAAAATTAGCTCAAGAGGGGATAAACATACGGCCCAAGGGGGGGATTCGAACTTGAAAAGTCAAAGCAAATAACATTAATGATAACTATCATGCCTCCTTAACATATGTGTTTAAAATTGCTTATTAATAGTATATATTTACATTCTGTTTTCATTTAATGATGTTTAGGAATTATCCTACATCGAAGGATGAGTATTCAAATATGCTATATAAATAACTATGTAATTGAAAAATAAAGACAAGTGTGAAAACACTAGGGCATCCGTACACGCGTGCATGTGCATGTCGCAAGTGTGCATGCGTGCATGTGCGTGTCGCAAGTGTGCACGCGTGCATGTGCATGTCACACGTGTGTACGCACGCGTGCATGTGCGTGTTGCACGTGTGGCACATGTGGGAGTGGTGTGTGTTGCACATGTAACGCGTACACACGTGTGACTGTTTTTGAGGCCTGAACTCAACTAGAACCGGTACACACGTGCCACACGTGCACGCATGCATATGGGAGTGTGTAGCGTGCACACGGGCATGTGCGTATGGCACGTGTGGGAGTGTGTGTGGCACGTGTGGGGCACGTGCATGCATGTATATGGGAGTGTGTGTGGCAAGTGTGGCAAGTGTGGGACGTGCATGTCCGTATGGCACGTGTGGGAGTGTGTGTGGCACGTGTGGGAGTGTGTGTAGCACATGTGGGAGTGTGTACCGCTCGTGTAGGAGTGGTGTGTGTCGCACGTGTGACGCGTACACACGTGTGAAGGTGCTTTTGAGGATAGAACCGAGAGGGGACCGGACAGAACCGAGTGGGAACCGCTAGAATCGGGTGGGAACTGCTAGAATCGACAGGGAACCGGATAGAACCGGGTGGGAACCGACGGTTCTGTTTTAGAATTGGGCGGTTCCCGATTTTGTGCTGGAACCGGCACGGGCTGTGCCGATTCCCGAGTCGAACCAGGCGAGTTTAGTTCGACTCGCCGATTTTTAAATCATTGGTTTGTCCCATTTATTGGAGAGAAAGTTGGGTGCTTCCTGTGAATTTTCTGACCAATTCATCTTTTAAGAGAGAAACAGAGAGGAGAGAGAAAGTGAGTGTGAGTCCAACTTGGTGGAGCCTCGAGGAGGCAACGGGTCCAGTGTAGGTGAACCTGGACGCAGATCCAGAGAGATTTAGGTCCAAGTTTTGGATTTGGACCTGACCCGTTGGGTCCAAAAGTTGGACTCATACTTGTACCCGTCTGGTCCTGAGTCTATCCCATCGGGTCTCGAGTCTGGTCAGGTCCATTGTCCCCCTCACTGTGAGCTTTTTCTTTTTGTGTCATTTTTATACCATCATATACCTCTATTATTAGCAACATCACAACCACCAGCCATTCTATTGCAAGCTAATTTGTCGTTTAATAGCTAAAGATGATTATGAGTTCTTATTGTATACGATCCTTAATATACCCAACTGATTAGGGCATAAAGTATTGTATCTCCAACAGTTTATGGGTACGGGTTGGGTCTAATCGAACTTGGCCCCGGACCCAAATGGTGTTCAGTTCCAGGTTTTGAAACTGGATCCGACCTGTCAAGTCCAAATATTGGACCCATACCGGGACCCTGTCACGTATACCCAACGGGTCTCGATTTGGGTCCGGATCTATTGGCACTTGAGTGGAACCCATCTTGCTGGACCCAAATAAATGCTTAAAAAATATAAAAATATAAAAATATAAAAATATAAAAAAACAAAAAATAAAAATATTGGTTAGAAATACTTCATAGAAATTTTGTTAGTTTGTAACATTGGGAACTTTTATATATATATATTTAAAAAAATTTATGAGATATTCATGCTATAAATATACTTTTTTGATAATCCATCTTTTATAAAAAAAAATTTCACCTTATTAATCTCCTAATGTTTCTATTAATCATTTCAACTTTTCTGTTTTTTAAATTTTTTTTTGGAGATTTTTACCCTTTTTTAGTTCTTTTTTCACTTTTCTAGGGTATACCTAACTCGACCGGCTCGGCCAAGAGCCAAGTAACTTGACCAAGTGGATTTTATGTACACCAATTTACACATTTATTTTTGGATGAAATAAGACATCTTACTTCCAAAAATAATCTACTAATTAATGGGTCCATCAACCTAAAGCAAATCAAAAAATAATATATTAATTAACTCCTTGTTTCTGGGAGGGGAATAAGATAACTGCCGCTTTGGTGCACATCAAGAATTCAAGATCCATTGGTAGTGACAAGATTTTCTCATCCATCAAATATGTAATTGTCTTGGTATACGTCACTTTACATGCATAAAAAAATCGCAGGCTGTATTTAAAAATATTTACTTTTGTCATTTTGGCAATTTACACATGTAAAATATTTATTTTAGTCGTTTTGGAAAAAAAAGCATAAAACCCGAGGTACGTTTAGCCGACACATACTGTACATATGCAGGCCCCCACCTAAAATTATCTTACAAATAGATTTTTTAATCTAAAATTTTAGGGATTCATGATCTAAATTAAGATGATCATGAATATAAAAAAATATATATTATTTAAAATGTGAATTTTTGACAAATTTTTTACACCGTCTAAATTCATTTTAACCCTATGAGCTTTTTACCACATCCACCTTAGTGAGTCAGGGTCCTTGCAACGACTAACTCATGAATGCCTTTTCCAAATATAAAGAGAAAAGTATAAAACCCAAAATAGGATAAATTGGAGGCTTTGCCTTTATTCCAGCATGGATTCCCACCCTCATCTAACCAGATTCCCACCCTTATCTAACCAAAAAGAAGGATGGATTCTTTCTTGAAAGACACGTTCGGTTCGCGTGAAATAGTTTTTTTGGAAAGAAATTAATTTTTAAGATTTTTTAGATTTAGATTTCTTTTTTTTTTTTTTTTTTCTAATGTTTGGTAATACGATCTAGATTTCTTATGGAATTGCTTCTTTTTGTTTGATAAACTATTTGGGAATCTGCCCGTATGGACTTTCGAATGTTAGTTATTTTCTCTCTAGAAATTCAATCTCTCTTTTTCTCTCTAAAAATCCAATCGTTTACACCAAAACCCATCCTTTATCTAGAAATTCAATCTTTTTTTATCTATCTAAAAACCTATTCTCGCACTCTAGAAATCCAATCTTTCTTGCCCTTTATAAAAAATCCATTATCTTTGACTCTCTAAAAACTCATTCTCTCTCTTTTGATCTCTCTTTTTCTTTCTAAAAACTCATTCATTGCTTTCTCTCTCTAAAAACCCAATCTATCTTTCTCTCTAAAAAGCCATTCTCTCTCTAGAAATCAATCTCTCTTTAAAAACTTATTATCTCTCTAGAAATCCAATCTCTCTTCCTCTCTCTAAAATTCCATTCTCTCTTTCTTTCTCTAAAAACTCATTTCTTCTCTTTCTCTCTCTAAAAATTGATTCTCTTTAAAAACCCAATCTCCGTTCTCTTTCTAAAAACCATCATCTCTTTCTCTCTCTTAAAATCTATTTTTTTTCTCTCTCTAAAAACCTATTTTCTCTCTAGGAAACCAATATCTCTCTCTAAAAACCCACTTTCTCTAGAAACTCAATCTCTCTCTCTAAAAACCCACTTTCTCTAAAAACTCAATCTCTTTTTCTCTCTCTCAAAATATAATCTCTCTCTCTCTCCAAAAACCGTCATCTCTCTAGAAACTTAATCTTCCTTTCTCTATTTTAAATCCCATTATCTTTTTCGCTCTCTAAAAATTCATTCTCTTTAAAAACCCAATCTTACTCTCTAAAAACACATTCTCTTTCTCTAGAAACCCAACATCTA